CACGTGCTTACTGCGTTGCAGCTGTCCAGAATAAAGTGGAGGGTTCACTTCACTTGTCCTTCCTGCTCCAATCTCCTTTCCTTCATCTTCATTTGACACAGTCTTCTTTTTCTTCTGACACTGTCTTCTCTCCTGCTTGGCTCCTTCTGCTCCGTTACCTTTCTGCAACTTTCTGCTTATTTTGCTCCCTCTTACCCTCAACATGTTAAAAGTGACAACACAGGGCCGGTGCAAGGATTTTTGCCGCCCTAGGCAAAAGTAAAGTTTGACGCCCCCCTCCTCCCCCCCGTGACATCGCAATGCCCCACCCATATGACCTGCCATGTTAACTAACGCTAGTGCTGCAGTACCGCTGTGTTTACATTAAAAGGCCTGCAGGGACAGGCTATAGACACCAGGACCACTACATTAAGGTGCAGTGGTTCTGGGGACTATAATGTTTCTTTAATGTGAGGTAAATTAGAGATTAGTGCCACGAATAATATACTAGATTACCTACTTACAAGCAGATGAGGATGATGATGGGCTCTAGCTGCAGTCTGGCTCCACTGGTCTGGTGTATAACAGGATCTCTGAAGCAGCTCCATTTTTTGGGGGCCCTTTACACAGCTCAAGGTCTGGGTCCCAGGGTCCACCTTCATTTTCCACCAATGAGTTTGTTCACAGGGGATGGAGTGTGTAGGGAATGTCCTGATTTGTGTGTAAGGAATGCATTTTGTGAATCTGTGTTTGTACGTGTAAGGGCTGCAAGGTGTGTTTCTGTGTATGTAAGGGATGAAGTGTGTGAGTCTGTAAGGGGTGCATTGAGTGTGTGTAAGGAATGCATTGTGTGTTTCTGTGTGTGCAAGGGATGCATTGTGTGTTTCTGTGTGTGCAAGGGATGCATTGTGTGTAAGGGTTGCATTGCGTGTGTGTGTAATGCATTGTGTGTGTAATGCATTGTGTGTTTTTCTGTGTGCAAGGGGTTCATTGTCTTTGTGTGTAAGGGGTGCACTGTGTGTGATTGTGTGTGTGATGGATGTCAGTCTCTCCCCCCTCCCTTGTCACTCTCTTCTCCCCCTCCCTTGTTACTCTCATTCCCCCTCCCTCCCCTGTCACTCCCCCCTCCCTGTCAATTTCTCTCTCCCCGTCAATTCCCCTCCCTGTCAATGTCTCCCCCCGTTAGTTTCTTCCCCCCCCCACCTCCCTGTTAGTTTCTTTCTCCCCCCTCCCCTGTCAGTTTCTTTCCTCCCCCCTCCCCTCCCCTCCCTGTTTCTTTCTTCCCCCTCCCTGTTTCTTTCTTCCCCCTCCTTCCCTGTTTCCTTCTCCCCCTCCCTGTTTCCTTCTCCCCCCTCCCTCCCTCTTTTTCCCCCTCCCTCCGTTTCCTTCTCCCCCCTCCCTCCTTCCCTGTTTCCTTCTCCCCCTCCCTCCCTGTTTCCTTCTCCCCCTCCCTCCCTCTTTCTTCCCCCTCCCTCCCTGTTTCTTTCCCCTCCCTCCCTCCCTGTTTCTTTCTTCCCCCTCCCTCCCTGTTTCTTTCTCCCCCTCCCTCCCTCCCTGTTTCTTTCTCCCCCTCTCTCCCTCCCTGTTTCTTTCTCCCCCTCTCTCCCTCCCTGTTTCTTTCTCCCCCTCCCTCCCTCTGTTTCTTTCTTCTCCCCCTCCCTCTTTTTTTTCTTCTCCCCCTCCCTCTTTTTTTCTCTCTCCCTCTCTCTCTGTTTCTTTCTTCTCCCCTCCCTCCTTCTCTGTTTCTTTCTTCTCCCCTCCCTCCCTCTCTGTTTCTTTCTTCTCCCCCCTCCCTCCCTGTTTCTTTCTTCTCCCCTCCCTCCCCTACCTGTGTGGTAGTGTGGCCGAGCCCAGTATAGTCCGACCGGTACAGGGAGCTGTTGTTTCCTGTACCCGGCCGGACTAACAGGAAGTGAACACTCAGTGTTCACTTCCTGTTAGTCCGGCCGGGTACAGGAGACAGCTGCTCCCTGTACCGGTCGGACCATGCCATAGAGGGCTCGGCCACGCTACAGAGAGGGAGCTGACAGGTGGGAGCGCTCAGCGCTGAGCGCTCCCTCCTGTCAGCCTCTCCTCAGGCTGCGCCCGGGCGGTGCGGTCCGCCCTCTTGGACGCACCGCCCGGGCAAAGCTGCAGCCGCCTGAGGCTCTCTACAGAGCGCTCGGGCGGCTGCAGCATGAGCGGGGCCGGCGCTCCTGGCGGCGCCCCCTCCCAAGGGGCGCCCTAGGCGGCTGCCTAGTCCGCCTTACAGGTAGCGCCGGCCCTGTGACAACATCAAAGTTTTTGAGAAGTTGGTTGAAAAAGATCTAAGGAATTTGAAAAAAGAAGATAAATGTAAGGATAATCTAACCTGGAAAGAAAGACAAGTTTTGAAAACACTTATGAAAGTCCCAACATTATCATAAGATCAGCTGACAAATGCGGTGGAGTGGTAGTTATGAACATCGCAGACTACGAAAATGAAAGTGCAAGGCTACTTAGTGATAAAGATACCTACCAAGAACTTGTGGAAATTCCCAACAAACAATTCATGGAAGAATTTTTGGAATTAATAAACGAAGGGAAAGAGAATGGGATTTTAAATAAGAGAGAATATGTTTTTATATGGTGTAAATATCCAAAGATAGCGTTTTTTTGTCACCTACCCAAAATTCATAAAAGTTTAATCAATCCCCCTGTAAGGCCCATCATCGTAGGGATTAATTCTGTCACTTCGAACCTCTCTCAATATGTGGACCAGTTTTTGCAACCCATGGTTACTCAACTTAAATCCTACCTTAAAGATACAACACAAATAACAAAAATCTTATCAGTTGGATGATCAGTTGGAAAAAAGAATATATTTTGGTGACGGCGGATGTGACTTCTTTATATACAGTCATTAAACACTAGGGATGTGCATGGGGAAAAATTTAGGTTCGGTTCGGCATTCCGACACTTCGGCACTTTGGAACTTCAGCACTTCGGCACTTCGGCAACCGGAATTTCGGGACTTCGGCACTTTTCTTGCAGCCGCTTAGTAGATAACTCCCTAATTCCCACGGTATTAGGGAGTTATCTACCATAAGGCTGAAAGACCTAAATTGATC